TTACCACCGGGTGGCGCACCAGTCTGATCACAGGCTGGAGGAAACATGGTGGATGATCACCTGAGCTGTACTCAGCTTCTGATAAACAATCAAATCAGATACAGAAAACAGGATTAATATTCATGAATGACAACAAGGGAAGTGATGACATCATAACAGAAACGCAAACAAGACGTACATGAGTATAAAACATGCCAGACTGAAGATGAGACGTCAACAGCATCGCAAACATTAACTTTTAAAGCTTCCATGTGGTTTTACATTTCTTCCATGAAAACAGGAAGTGCCGCTTTTCATTTGAAGACTCACATTTATGGACGTGGACGTGGAAAAGTATAAATCTGGGAGCTTTGCTTGGACATGAAGTTGGTAATGTGTCTGTGTGACAGCTGTGTGGAAGCACGAGAGCAACGTTTGCGGGAAAATCCACAGACTGTACCACTCGGACGTGTTTCAAGGAGGTTTTTCACAATAAAATCAAAGCATCGGTTTAAATAAAACCTCCTTCACCTTGTAAGGAAACATTTTGTGGACACGATTTATTTCCATTTAACAAAGTTAGTTCAGTGAGAGATGGCAGGAGGAGCAGAGGTCAGCTCATGGTGACAGAGGTCGAACAGATGTGAGGAGGAACAGCACACACAGCACTGGTGTGTTTCATCTCCACACACAGACAAACCACAGCAACACTGACTCCACTCTCAGCCTCCCAGTGACCATGAGCTTACCCGTGTCACCGGTGCCAGCCTCTGTGGAGCCCAGTGTGTCATGTGATGATGATACAGGACATTTTCCACACCCAGCTCCACGCTGAGTCCTGGCTTCAGTGGGTGAGTCCATCCAGCAGAGACGTGGAGACACAAAGACTGAGAGCGGCTGGACAGGTTCAGGTGTTACACCTCAGTTCAGGGCAGGAGAAACGCAGGTTCATTGTTGTGCACTAGAACCTGATGTAGAAGTTACAGCATGCAAGCACACGGTGATGGGGCCGAGGAGCAGCTCTTTACTGACATCTAGTGGTTCTACATCTTTTTCCTGCTTAATAAAGTTCAGCTTTCTTCTCCTGCAGATCATTTGACAAGTCTTTTGCTGTCCCCATGACTCGGGACCCAAAAACGTCGGTGCAGCACTGGACCTGCAGCGTCTGTCTGAAGGCCTGAAACTCCTCCCACGCTGATCACAGGTGAGCACGGTGACCTTCAGTCAGGTAAACCTGTGATTGTTTCTGTCCAACACAGCTGTAGGGCAGTAAAGAACTTCACCCAACCTCCACCAGAGAGAAAGAAAAATGTCTGTATCATGATTCATATTCTGTGAGAGTAATCACAGATCCCTGTGGGGTGTTTGAACACTCGTACACACTTCCAGCTGCACTGTGGAGGTGCAGTGATTGGAGTGTACCCGTGGGGATCTGTGATTTTGAAGGCTAGGACGTGTTTCAGCCTCTGCTGTCGTTGATGTCACAGAATAGTTAAATCCTTCCTGTTTCATGGGATCGT